CTGTCTGCATGTGAGAAGAATCCCACAGATGCCTACCAGCTCAATTATGACATGCACAACCCCTTTGACATCTGTGCTGCATCGTATCGGCCCATCTACCGTGGAAAGCCAGTGGAGAAGTGTCCGCTCAGTGGAGCCTGCTATTCCCCTGAGTTCCAGGGTCAAATCTGCAGGGTCACTATGGTAAGTACTGACCTCAAGAAACACCTCTAGGGTACTGTGGGAGGGGAATAGAAGCATAGTGTTCTTTTCTATTGGATTTGCCCCTACCTCCTTGAGGCTGTGATAGTGGAGAAAGCCAGAGCTTTTCCGTTGCTCTATACCAGTAAATAACAAACACCTGTCTACCATGGCTGTGGGGGTGGAGGGAATCAGCTTTCTAGCCTTTTCAACTTCACAGATCCTTAACTTTTCCCTGTTTCCTCTTTTACAGGTGACAGAGATTGGCAAAGATGTGATTGGTTTAAGGATCAGTCCTCTGCAGTTCCGCTAAGGTCCCCTTTTTGTGCTAGAGGAATCGCTTTATTTTCTTTCTGGAGGATTAGTCCCTATGTCATCCTTCTAATGTCCCCCTACTCTCAGCCACCCCTCATATTATTGACATTGAGTCTCCCTCCGCTAAAGCCTAGTGTCCTTCTCTTTTTTATTATGGCTAATCAAAACATCTGAACTTGACTTCTTTGTCTGTGAGGCCCTCTCATCTTCTTAAGGTGACTTCAGTTGTGATCATAGTTGGCCTGGCCTTCACAGCTTAGATCAAGGCTTAGACCACAGCTTAGATCAAGGAACAAATGAAAATGCAGTGATGAGCATCCATTTAGTAAATTCATTCATTCATTCATTATTTGTCCCTCTTCTTGCCACCATCATTGTATCCTATTTGCTAGGAGTAGAATATAATAAGATACCATTTTTTACTTAGCTCTACCAAACTTACAGCCATCCTCCTATTTCCTTGGGCATTGAACTTCCCAAGTAGGTATCTTCTGTGTGCCTGGAAATGTAAGGTCTGAGAAGAAACCATTTGATTTTCCAAAAATGTCCACTTTATACTGATTTTTTTCTTTACAGCCAGTGTTCTCATACTTGGTTTCTCACACTGAATAAAGTAGATTTCTGCGAGAGCTGCTTGGCTTGTCATTTGTTTTCCTGGACACACTCAGCTCAGCTTTCCACTCACCCCATGCAGCTGCCTCACTAAAGAAGTTATCTTTCTTGCAATAATTATTTTTAATTACAACAGTAACTAATACCCAGTGTTTGTTGTGTTGTAGTTGTTGTTATGTGCTGTCGAGTTGGACCCGACTCATAGCGACCCCTCCTTGGGTTTTCAAGGCAGTGGCACTACGGAAGTAGATTGCCCAACCTTCCTTGTGAGGAGTGGCTTGTGGGTTTGAACCATCAGCCTTCTGGTTAGCAGTCAAGTGCCTTAGGCACTATGCCACGCACTGTTAGGGGAAAAAAAAAAAACTTATTTTTCATAGGATATATGTGAGGCATAGACCTAAACTGAGAATGGGAGCCAGCAAGAAGCTTTTCTGTTAACCTTCCATCTATTGCCATTTTTTATTAAGCACTTACTATGTACCTATTACTGTTCTAGGAGCTCTGGTGGCATAGTGCCTAAGGCATCTGACTGTTAACCAGAAGGCTGGTGGTTCAAACCCACCAGCCACTCCTCAGTAGGAAGACTGGGCAGTGTATTTCCGTAGTGACACTGCCTCAGAAACCCAAGGAGGGGTCACTATGAGTCGAATCCAATTCAACAGCAGTGCATATCAGTATAGCTATACTGATATGGAAAGATACAGATATACTGATACGTAGCGAGAGCTTCACTCTTCTCTACATATTATTCCATTATATGGTATACCATAATTTATGTAAATTGCCGTGTTGATAGATACTGGGTTATTTTCATTATTTTGTTGTTATAAACAATGGTGCAATTAAGTGTATCTGTAGATAAACTCCTAGAAGTAGAAATTCTGCTTCAAAGAGCACAAGCCTTTATTTTTTTTTACGTTTATGAGTCGCTTTGTTAAACACAGCATCTCCAAACTAAGCCTGCCTTCTTAAAATTTACTATACTACTTTGATAATCCTTTCAAGTTGCAAACATTTTTTTCTGTAAACAGAGGCAAGTTGGTGATAGATCTTGGCAAAATAATCTACCTTTTTGACTGTTAAAAATTAAATTACAAAATTAACCACACACAACATAAACATTTGCCTAAATTGAGGGATTTGAAAAAAAATTGAGTCCCTGCCTCTTGAAGTTTACGTAATTGCGGAGACAAGACAGACCTGTGAAATAATTGAATGCTGGACAAAAATTTGAAGATGGCCAATAAGCAGTAGAGCACCATTAAGTTCTTAAGGGAGGGATAGCAAGAAAATGCTGTGAAATACTGTTCTGCAACAGTGTTCACTGTACATTAAAAAGGAGGAGTAGCCAGGAGGTGACCAAATACTGAGGTGAGGTGTTAGGAATATTAATGGTAAAAACAGAAAAGCAGAAAAAAGCTTAAAAGATGCTACAAAGGAAAAAGAATGCTATAGAGTGCCTTGATTCTCAATTCTCATCTAGTAGTGTCTATTAACATGTTTATATTCTACATTGATGTGGCCAATAGAAATAGTAGCTTGTAGGCGGACAAATGTTAACACTTTTAGCATATATTTGATATAGCCATATTACAGAGACACTTGTAAGCAGTTCAGAGTTGAATGAGAAAATTAGCCTGGAGTTATGTGATAGGTGTTGGGTTGAATAGGGCCATAGAGAGGTGCCAACTCTAATATTTGTAATCTGAGTCTTAAGACTGATGGAGGATTTGCAAAAGGACACAATGATTTCGTGACAGAGTTGGGAGTAGAACTTAAAGTCTTCTGGCTCTCAGTTCAGAATGTTTTCTCCTAAATAACACCACTTGTTTGTGTGATTGGAAGAAAAGAGCAGGTCTTAACACAGGTATGATTTTTAAAAGTCTCTGCTGTATCTGAAAGAAAAGGGTAAGTATCTGCTCTGGTGCTTGACACAGTACTCAAATACTTGTTTAGGAATCTTAACGGGCAAAGAGATGAAGTGACTTACACGTGGTTTTTTTCACATAGATGTGATTTCCCCCTCTTTTAACGTTGTTAACAATATCCTTCTCTTTCAATACACCTTGTGTCATACATACTGCTGTTAGGTTTAATCCTACCTTCAGCCTAAAGCCCAGGCAGCTAGCTAGCTACTTTAGGGAAGGAGCTGTTCCTGATTTATCTCTGTCCTTCACTGCATCCAGCACAGGTTTTTAAACAATGGTAGATACTGAGTTGTAAAATAGATTTGTCTCTGAGGAAGCTGCCTTCTGATAGATCTGAATAGGAGCTGTCAAGAGCCGTCCCTATTTGAACCTTCCCCTCATCACCCAAAATTAGATTGGAAGTTGTGTTCTCTATAGAGAAGAGGAGATATGACAGAGGTCAGAGACTAGAGAGGTTAATTACTACTATATTTGAATTGCCCTTTTGCTCAGTCTAAGGTCCTAGAGTTGCTTTTTCTGTCTGATCAATTAAACTAGTATTTAATACTACATTCAAATTACTTACTATACCTGGCCCTGTGTCCTTTAGTCCGACAGTTCTAGTAAATACTAAAAAATGAAAGATGTCCATTAGATTCTGCAGAGAAGCTGCCTATTTAAAACAGTCTAAGAGAGCAAAGAGTGGCCAATGAATGCTTGCCTATTAAATACTAACCTCCAGCCTAGAAGCCAGGGATCCAACAGTGAGAACAAGAGAAAAAAAAAAAAAAAAATCCTTACCTGCATGGTGCTTAAATTCAAGTTGGGTAGGGGGAGATAGACAACAAGATGAAGTATGTCAGGTAGTTTTTAGCGTTGAGAAAAATAAGTACATATATGTATGTGTGTGGAAGGGGTTGCACTTTTACTCAGTGAGACCAAAGCAGTCTGAGAGAATGGTTTTTGTTGTTAAGTGCACTTGAGTCTGCTCTGACTCATAGCGACCCTACCTACAACGGAACAAAACACTGCCCGGTCCTGCACCAGCCTCACAATCCTTGCTATACCTGAGCCTATTGTTGCAGCCACTGTACAGAGTTTCAGGGCTATTCATGAAGTTTTCCAGTACCGTATCAGACAATGTTTCCCTGCTATTCATAAGATTTTCACTGACCAATTCTTGAGAAGTGGACGGCCCCTTCCTTCTTCCAAGTCTGTCTTAGTCTGGAAGCTCGGCTAAAACCTGTCTACCATGGGTGACCCTGATGGTATTTGAAACACCGGTGGTATAGCCTCCGGCCTCACAGCAACACACAAGCCACCACAGTACCACAAACTAACAGACGAGTGGTGGCAGAGAATGGTATCTGCGTAAAATACTGAAGGAAGTGAGGGGAGATAAACAACATGGGCTCCTACGCACTCTGATTGTCTTCTTGGTTATATCTGTGTAGCTTCTGGTTATTTGTAGGCAGTTGGGTCCAATCTGGCCTATCCACAATAGGGGAAAAAGTAATGAAAGAGCAACTTCTCTACATAATGTGGGAAACTGAAGTAAAGTAGGCCACCAAGCCAAACCAAACTCACTGCCATCCAGTCGATAGCAGTCACAGCGACTCCCATTGGGTTTCCAAGGCTGTAAATATTTACTGGAAGTAGATAGTCCTATCTTCCTTCCGCTGTGAAGTGGCTGGTAGGTTTGAACTGCTGACCTGGTTAGCAGTCAAATGCTTTATCCACTAAGCCACCAGAGCTCCTTTAAAAGTAGACCAAGCCAGTAGAAAACCAGGCAGAAGATCACAATAAGTGGCCCTCACGTTAGTGCAATGGTTCCTGGAAAAACAAAATGCAAAGCTTCCTGTCTCTTTAAAAATGGCGGCTCAGGACTCGCCAAAAATACTATTGGTTATACAAGGCAGAAGGGGACGGGAGTGAACGAGAAGTACTGAGGAGTCCCGCCCACTACGGCAAGTCGGAGGTAGCAAGATGGCTGCGGCTGAGAAAGACTGTGAAGTTGGGGCCGATGCTGATCGGGAATTGGAAGAGCTGCTGGATAGTAAGAGCCACTAATGGGAAAGGCGTAGAGAGGCGGGTATGAGGACCCATTCCGGGTTTAAATGGGCCTGAAACATTTGGGGCAGAGAGGGAAAGGGTTTTCCAAGGTTGGACGGGGGTGGAGGTTAACCGCGACCCCGGGGAAAATCTCTGGGTCACCCTCTCCCTCCTTCGCGGCGGGAGTTGGGGAGCTGACCTTTGACCCCCGATGACTCAGACCGTTGAACGCCCTGCTGGAGAAGGAATCGGTAACCCACAGAACGGTGTCTCTCGATTCCTGTCCAAACTGTCCTTGCTTTAGATTAAGAAGTTCTTGAAGTCTAACTTCCCGCCAGCAGCATTCTGTCCGCGGTGGACAACGAACCAGACACTCTTGAATTGCTAACATTAGCTCTTCAAAAGCCTGTAGCACGTCATTCATTGCCCCTGTACTATCCTTCTTAACACAAAAAGCACGTCTTTCTTCCACCTTGTCCTTTCACCCTTCCCTCACTAGGCCCCTTTCCAGTTCTTTAATCATGTCAGTAGCTCCCGCGAATTCTTTTACCCATTTTCTTGAGAAACTAGGGACAAGCCAGCCTCTCAGCAAACCAGCTCACTCTCATGAAAAACAGTAGATTTTCTTTTTGAGTTGGCCCTGTCCTCCACTCCCCTCCTGGATTTTTGCCCTCTCAGAGTGAAGCCAGTGCCCTCCCCCAAGACCTGGCAAGCAGAGTGGAGATGGTGAAACGGTGGTGAATAGTTTGTCTCTTGCCCAGTCACAGAGATGTGGAAGGGCAGAAAAATGAACAGAAACTGGGAGTGCCAAGTGACTGTTTGTGAACTGCAGACAGACTTGAGGCCAGAGGGCACTCCAGGAGCTTTGCCCAGGGAGAAATAAATTGGACACTAAGAGTAGAGGGTTTAATGCCCTTACATTGTACTACTAGTTCCAGGACCAATGAAAAGATAGGTGAGATATTTTGTGGATTCTGCTTTCTTCCCCTTTAGGGCTCCAGAGTGAATTCAGAGCAGTAGGGACATCTGTGCCTTCTACTTGTGTTGCATATGTGTATAGGATTCATAGGGAATCATTAGCATGTGGTGGTAAAGGCACAGTGTAAATGGAGATGTACTTTGCCCTCTGCAGAACTTCTTTTAACCTTTTCCTCCTAACTCTGAATAACATTTGCTTGTTCTACCTTAAGAGATTTTTTCCCCATTGATCACAGTAAATTAGGTAATGGGAGAGAAATAGGAAGCTTACTGAAGTATGGACTGGGAGGAAAGACTCAAAAAAAATAGAAAAATTTAGAAAAGGTGGCAATTTGTAAAATCATTCTTCTGATGCTTTGTCCAGAAACCACCCAGCCTTTCATCCTCAACCATCCCCAATACATACCATGTCTCTTGTCTCTGAAGGTGCTCTTGATGATTTCGATAAGGCCAAACCCTCCCCAGCATCCCCCCCTATCTCCATGGCTCCCGATGCTTCAGGACCCCAGAAGAGATCGCCAGGAGACACTGCCAAAGTATAAATTCCATACCAATTAAGGGAGGGGGAGGGGATGGGCATGCAGCTCTGAACTGAGGTGGGGGAAGGGTGCCTTGCCTCACATTTCTGAGTGCTCCTGCAGGTCACAGTCCTTGTAAAACAGGACTTGAAATATGAGTGGAGGGATTTCATGTAAGTTCCTTGAGAAAAGAGCAAGTTTATATGGTTAGATAGGTTTGCCACCCTGTGTCCTTCCCTCAGTGGCCGGATGCCTTTCTTGCTGTCCTCACTGGGAGAGGTGGTTAGACCTTCCAGTGGAGGTGGGTAGTGGGGAGGCACTGCATTTCCCAGAGCCACTACCTGTGGCTTTTACCACAGGTCAGGTGCAGTGAGGTGCCAAATAAGAGACACATTTTGGCCAACCTCCCCTGTAGGATGCCCTCTTCGCCTCCCAAGAGAAGTTTTTCCAGGAACTATTCGACAGTGAGTTGGCTTCCCAAGCCACTGCAGAGTTCGAGAAGGCAATGAAGGAGTTGGCTGAGGAAGAGCCCCATTTGGTGGAGCAGTTCCAAAAGCTCTCAGAGGCTGCCGGAAGAGTGGGTGAGGAAGAGACCCCAAACAGCTGGAAATATGTTCAACTGCTTGAGAATACCAGAATTCTTAGTAAGGTTGACAGCAATCACAGCATCACTGTTGTGGGGTGGGGTGGGGAGAGGAGATGGGAGGAGGGTTGGGAATCCTGCTTAATGAAAGCAGTGAGATAGGTTGGAGAAGAATAGAAAAAATTATTCAAAACTCACCATTTTAAAAGTTACAGTGCTATTCTGCATGTCATCATGGAGAATAAGCTGACATATGGTCCATACAGATGTATAAAAATGTCTATGAAGATAACCATAGATTTTAAAGATTTGGAGTGATAGTGATTCACTGGTAAATGCTACTTGTCCAAGCTTGTGAACTAGGTTAGTCTAGCCAAGCAGTTAAAATTCTAAATGATCCTGGTTCTTTGATCTCTCCTAGGCAGTGATGCAACTTCCCAACAAGAATTTACTTCTTGCCTAAAGGAGACACTAAGTGGACTAGCCAAAAATGCCACTGACCTTCAGGTGAGGGGGTTTGGGTGGGGGAATCTCATAGAGCCCACTCCTAGACCCTTAACCAACAGGGTCTCAAAAGACACAAGCTCTTGGGTATCAGCCCAAATCTGTCTACCTCAGTGTTTTAAAACAGGCATGTTTAAATAGTTCCACTCTGGGCTTTTACTTTTCCAACTGAAAGGGTGGTAAGCCATCCCAAAAAGACAATATGCTCACCTTTTTCTTGTCCTTTCTAGAACTCAGGCATGTCAGAGGAGGAGCTGAACAAGGCCATGGAGGGGCTGGGCATGGATGAAGGGGATGGAGAAGGAAACATCCTCCCCATCATGCAGAGTATCATGCAGAACCTACTGTCTAAGGACGTACTGTACCCATCATTGAAGGAGATCACAGAAAAAGTTTGTGTGCCTTTCTTTCTGCTTTTCCTTCTCATTCTCTGTTGTATCAACTTGTGTGGGCTACTTTGTGTTCAGGGTCTACAGAGATAGAGTAACTTAAATGCACAAGTCCTTTTTTTTTCCTCCTTTATTTATTTGGGGTATGTAGGATTGAACAAGTTGGGTCTCAGACAGATCAAAGTTACCTAATGCTGAGGATCTCTGGGGTAAGTGGGAAAATCACTCAGCTCTAATTTTCTTTAGACGAGTATAAGACTGTGGGTCATTTTCTGATTCTTGCATTTCTGTCTTTGCTTATTTCTTCCACAGTGATTTCACTGAGGATCATACTTTGTAGGTTCTCAGCACTGGCTTTTTGCTATGTGCATTTTAAGAGTAGTTTAAATGGTGGTCCTTGTAGTCAAAAGAGTTTATAGTTTTATTGGAGATAAAATAATAGGCACAGACTTTTTTTTAGTGACACAGGGAAACATGTAGTCAACTGTGAAATGAGTAGTATAGACCAAGAGTTGGCAAACCAAGCTGAAAAAAAGTGTTGGTTTTTTGTGTTTTTTTTTTTTTTTTTTTTTTTTTTTTTTTTTTTAAGAGTTGTGGACAAATAAAACAAAGAAGACTATGATGATAGGGACCACATGTGGTCCATAAAACCTACCATCTGTCCCTTCACATAAACGGTTTGCTACACTCTGATATAGATCATAAATGCTAGCACTGGCATAGCCAGGTGATCTGGTTGGAGTCTGTGCTTCTTCTCATGCTGAACTTGCTTATTTAACTCTTTCCTCCTATGTCCTCCTCCCCTTCATGTTGTAAGTATAGGTCTAATTGCCCCTTCCTTTTCATTGTTCACTTGATTCTTATCTACTCATTCTCCCTTTTTTCAGTATCCAGAATGGTTGCAGAGTCACCGGGAATCTCTACCTCCGGAGCAGTTTGAAAAATATCAGGAGCAACACAGTGTCATGGGCAAGATATGTGAGCAGTTTGAGGCAGAGACCCCCACCGACAGTGAAGCCACTCAAAAGGCTCGTTTTGAAATGGTGCTGGATCTTATGCAGCAAGTAAGGTCTCCTTCTCCCATCTGCCATCTGGTGCTATTCGCTTGGGTGTTCAGTGGAGGAAATATCTGGGAAGAATGCCGCACTGCCAGAGCTGGGTAGAAGAGAGAACACAAGAGGCCACATAGTCTGATTGAGCTTAGTGAGACCCCCGAGTTACCCTAACAGGTCTGGAATTGAACTCACTCCTTTGGCTTCTAGCCAAACAGCAGATAGGCATATAGGGTGAACATTTATATCAACTAGATGTGTTCCTTAGAATGATTAATATGGGACAACAGAAGGGCAGTATTTGCTCAGGGGGCAGGAATGTGTAGGAAAGAGGGACACCGGAAAGAGGTAACTACAGGGAGGAAGTAGGAAAAGAGCTGTTGCTCCATGCAGTCAATATCATGAAACAAAATGTATATGAGCTGCTGTATGGATAATGAATTTGGTCTGTAAACTTTCACTCAAATCACAATAAATATTAAAAAAAAAAAAAAAGCAAGAGACCACATAGCGTAGTCCTTAGAAGAAAGATTAGTGATCATAGCTGAGAGGTTCCTCTTCTGGGTTGCTAACTTGTTTGTGTTTTTCCGTATCTCATGTTCCTCTTTCCTTATTTTCTAGCTACAGGACTTGGGTCATCCCCCAAAAGAGCTGGCTGGAGAGATGGTGAGTATGTTTTCTCTTCTTAGATTTTAATCAGATCCCCAGTTTCCAGAATCTGTAACGTTTAATGATTCCATCTAAGGTGGTAACTGTGCTATTGAGGATGGACCTTCAGGAGTCTGACCTGAAATACGAGCAGTTATCTGAGTCCTTTCATCTCTTCTCCAGCCTCCTGGCCTCAACTTTGACCTGGATGCCCTCAATCTGTCGGGCCCACCAGGTGCCAGTGGTGAACAGTGTCTGATCATGTGAAACACTACACGTTTTCCTCCCTGATTCCCAGCCATGGGGAACATCTGGAGTCAGCAGAACCATTGGGAGCTGAGGCAGGAGTGTCGTCTGCAGGAGCGATCTGCCCACTGCCATCCCACCCAAGACTGTGCCATACCAGCTGAGGCTTTTTCTCTTTCTAGGAATAAGGCCTGTTCCATAGGCCGTTTCTGTTAGCCCTACTTGGTTGTGGTTTTTGCTGGTAGCAAAGGCCCAGCTACCTGCCAGACGAAGGAAGGCATCCCTTTTGGGGCATGCACCTTCTTCTGCCTCCTAAAATAATGTTACCTGTGGCTGCGGTGATGTTCATCTTTACACCCAGGGTCTTCGTGCCTTGTCTCTATTCCATGTTTTGCACCTGGGAAGCAGGGACAGAGTCTTAGGACTCTATTTCTACAGTTCTCCTGGGAAGGGCCTTTTAGAATGGAAAGGAACTTAGCCTGGGCTGGAGTTGTAGTTCTGTTATCCTGTCCTCTCACCTTCAGACTATTCTGAATTCTCTGGTGGGAAAGGTTCTAATCTAATGCATCTAATCGCAGTAAGATTGGGAGAGAAGCACTGGGAGTCTCCTCTCTTGGGTGCTGTGCCCCCAACTCCCTGTTCCAGCCTGTAAACTCACATTGCTACCTGGTTCTTTATACAGTGCTATGTGATTTACATAAACCCAGCGCCTGGCCTTCCTTTGCCCCTGCCTTTCCTCTTAATCTCTCTTTTTAAAATACCTATTTATTCCTGAGCACAAGCTGTGACAAAAAAAACTCATCCTGTTTCCCCTCATCCAGTCCATCTACCACTCGCAGTGGTCCCCTTCTACCTAGCAAATATAGTTGAAGTGTCAGGTCTGGGAAATGAATGACCTTCCCCAGATACTGTCTTACTTGAGATTTCTCATTCCCTTAGAATCCTGAATTTTGATTCAGGGAGGTGGCTTGGGTACAGCTTGGGCCTCTTTTCCTGCAGGCCCTTTGAGGTAGTATCTAATAAATATTTTAAGTGGAGGAGTGTGGCCTGTTCTTCATCCAGGTCTTTTTCTGACCTTCCTCAGCTTCTGTAAGCTGCAGAGTGAAGAATGTTAGCAGAACGGATTTTCATAATATTGCAGTACTGGGTTCCCAATGGCTTGGCGGGGGGGCACCTTCCTTTTCCTTCCTTAGCTCCATCTGCATCTCATTTGGCAAAGACTTGATATCTGTCATTCCTCGTTTCCTCTCCAAATATTTCCACATGAGAAGTCTTTCAAATGTCAAATTGTATTTTAATATCACATTATTACTAATATTGTTGTTGTTGTTGTTATGTGCTGTAGAACGGACCCGACTCATAGCGACCCCTCCTTGGGTTTCCGAGGCAGTATCACTACCGAAGTAGATTGCCCCATCTTCCTTCCAAGGAGTGGCTGGTGGGTTTGAACCGCCAGCATTCTGGTTAGCAGTCAAGTGCCTTAGGCACTGTGCTACCAGAGCTCCCATTACTAATATTAGTAATCCATTATAACCATGTTTTCTAAATTATTTCTTTTTGAGCTGACTTTGCCCTTCTTGGTGGGAGCCAGTAGGCTCTGTGGCCCTTGGCCGCCATATGTTTATGGATACTCTCTTCAGACCAGCTGGCTCTCCTGGTTCAGCCCTGAGAAAATAACTATTGTCAGAGCAAATTCAGCAGAGTCACTTTAAGCTTCTGACATGTCCCTTTCCCCTGAGTTAAGACTTTCCATACCTTGAAGATCCCATGTGTTCTTTTGGATTGGCAAGGAAGGGAATGTTGATGCATCAGGCTGTTTGGGTATGTCCAGTCTCTGTAACTTACCAGAACATAGAAGAACCCAGGTCTAAGCTGAGATTTCTGAACTCTAGATGGCAGACTTATGAGGACAGTCATGAAGCCTGAATGGCCACAATTTTCTCCTTAACAACTCCAGCCAAACACTGGACAAGGATAGAGAAGGGGAAGAACAAAGGTCCTTGACTCTTGACTCTTGTGCCTACTGTCCTGCCATGTTTTGTTTTGTTTTGTTTTTTCACAAATTCTC